AAAAGGGGTAGAATATTATAGATAAATTAAGTTCGGGGGGGTAATAGGACCTTAGTAAAGGTTAGGTGTGTCTCTGGGATTTCGGGCATAGGCTGGGGGGGTACTTATGCATTTTCCCTAATTTTTTTGCAAAAAATGGAATAATGTCCATATTTGAATATACTCAAATACAACTTCAAAAGCGAAAAGTGAGTTGGAAAACAACTTATTCAAGTTGAATTTGGAATTTTCATGATCAAACATTGATTTTCAAATAAGGTAAAAGATGATTTTCTTAAAAAGACATACTTTTCATGGCAAAACAGATATTCGAGATCAACCATTTGTATGAACTAAAGCTTAAACAAATGAGAAACATGCATGCATATACCTCCATCAACCAAAGAGGCATGGACAAAAGAGGAAAATGCACCTAGTTGCCATCTGGAATTCAAACCTCGGTATTGGAAACATCCTTAGTTCCTCGATTCATTCCGTAGCGCGAAATCCATCGTAATCATTTACGATGGGTGGATAAGCAAGAAGGAATCCCCTATGATTAGACTAACTGACAAAGAAGGTTAGCAAAGTTCCTGCTATAGTGAAGTGAAAGATCTTTTGGTTTCTTGTAACTCTATGCTCATTGACCGCTAAGTCATCCCTTTGAGGCATTTGTAAATTTGTGTCACATGAAAGAAATACACCATGAAGCTATTTACTTAACCATGTTAGATAAAAGGATAATGACTGAACAACCACAGCATTTAGTACAAATAAACTCTAGCCATTGTACATTTTGCATTATACAACAAAGTGTCTAAATTAAAAAGAGCAGTCTGATGCACAAAACATCTTGCGTTCACACAAAGTCTGGGGAAGGACTATACCCAAAGAGCGTGATGTAAACAACATCTCTAAGCACAAGGGATGTTGATACTTCACAATGGATCCAAATACAGAAAGAGGTGGGGAGGAGGATTCTCTATGAAAGTTCAATATCCATATCGATTCCAAACTAGCTCAAGGCTCCTCCATCAAGAAATAACTGTGCGGTAGGCAAAACACTTCTTCCTTATTAAAGATTTTAG